GTTAAAATTGGATTTCAAAATTGGAAAATTGATGTGCACCTTTTTTTATAGAGGTATAGATGGAATTGTTACTAGTTCAATTGCTTCGAGTTTTGCATTTGGTGTAAGTTTATTTTTATGTTAAAATTATAATTTTAAATTTGATAAATTTTCTAGGGTACAGAAACCGTTAGTATAACCGTATGTGAAAGTGCAAATCCTCGTCGTGATGTTCCACGTTCAATGAAAGAAACTATTTGGCGTATTGTTTTAATTTTTGTTAAATCAATTGTAATAATGGGTCTTAGTATTCCATATAATGATCCTAGTTTAGCTCATAATGATGTTAAAAATGTAGCTGTATCACCATTTACACTTGTTTTTGTTAAATCAGGTATTAAACCAGCTGTACATATTATGAATGCAGTTATATTAACAACGATATTATCAGCTGGAAATTCAGCTCTTTATGTATGTACACATATTTTATATGCTTTAGCTCATGAAGGAAAAGCTCCAACATACTTTACTTAAGTAACTCGACACAGTATTCCAATATGATGTCTTGTATTTACAGCATTTGTATCAAAAGTATTATTTGGTTTATCATTTATTGGTAATAAAATAATTTATCGATGGTTACTTAATATAACAAGTGTAATGGGTTTTATAGCTTAGTTTGGAATATTATTAGTTCATTGGAGATTTCGTCGAGCATTTGTTTTAAGACAAGGTTATTCAGTATTTACAACACATCCATTTAATTTTAATAATTTCTTAGCAGCTTATATAACAATACCCGTTTTTTTAATTGTTTTTTTAGTTTATAGATTTGTTAAAAAGACACGTTTTATACCTTTAAGAGAAATTGATCTTACAACTGACAGTATTATGTTTCATCAAACAGAACAAATATCTAATATTTAAAATTTATGATTTTTTTTTTCTGAAACTAAATAAATAATCCAATATTATTATTTGAATAAGTTAGTTAATTTATTTTCAACCAAAACAATAATCATTTTAATAAAACTATAAAATGATCAAGATTTAGTAACAAGCAGAAATTTATTATATTGAAATAAAAGGGTGGGTGTGAGTGTGGATATTTTCTTCATCTACACCCACATCCACACGCTTTAATCTCTAGAAAAGTGTTCTGTACTATTTATAGTTTCATTTGAAGCATAACAATCAATCATAAAGGGTGTGGGGCGGGTGTCTATGGCTGTGCCTGTGGGTACTGACCTCCGCCTCATTAGAGCCCACACTCACACTCACACCCACAAACCCACACCACCCACACCCACACCCTTCCATAGAAATAAGGTCTGATTTCGATATGATTCAGTGTGCATATAAATGCTCATCGGTGTTAGTACCCGAGTCCGGCATTGTTACACGATTCTTTCAGTCATGCAAAGTGCTCGGAAATGACCGGTTCTGGCACATTTATTTTAGGACTGGAATGCCACTTCCATGCTTCGTCAATTTCGTCTTCAGCAGGAATTACACGGGCACCAGACCAAAGTGACGGAAAAACGACTCGTCTTCGACGAACACTTGCCGTATCTGGAAACTGTAGATCGTCGATCTGGATTGCTTTATCACGATTTTCTTCAGTGGAATTTGTATACTGCTATAATATTAGTATAATTACAGTAATGTTGATAGATAAGCAAAGTCTCTTTCAAGATATAATAATCAATGACTGTTTTGATTGCTACTAGAAATCAAATGAAATCACATGAAATCATCTGAAATCACTTGAAACCATTTGAAATCACGAAATCAGTTTGTTCCACCTTGATAAAAAGACTAATAATTTATTACATATATAAGATACGGAATATGTTTACAGCAATAATCAAACAAAAAACAAATTTTATTTTTAAGTTTTAAATAGTTTTTCATTGTAATAAGTTATGCTGATGATGAGCGTGTTTCTAGTTTAACAAATATAGCATGAGGTTGAATAACAAATTTTTCTTGTTGCTTGAATCCTTCTTCAGTTTTATCGCAAGGTAATATTCGATATTGTTGAAGTAATTGAATTAAACACATTTTCAACTCCATTAGTGCAAATCTCATACCAATACAATTTCTGGGACCAACACCAAATGGCATCCAAGCAATAGGATGACGTTTTACTGTATGTCGTTCGGGTATGAAAAGATTTGGATCTTCCGGACCCCATAGATCTGGATTATTATGAATAGTAAGTATATCTGGTTGAATAATACAACCTAAAACAAAATATCAAACAAAAACTAATCATAGAATTCGATGAGTTTTGGTTTTTTTCGTCAGTAAACAAACCTTTTTCAATCATATGGCCACAAACAGTCGTAGTTGTATTACATTTACGGGTCATTGCTTTAACAGTTATAGGATACATTCGAAGAACTTCTCGTACAAATAGATCGAGATATGAAAGATTAATAGCTGTTTCATAATCTTCTTCAATATTTTTATTATTCCAAGTATGTTGATTAATTTCTTCAATAAGTTTATCTTGAATTTCTGGTCTAGTAGCTAATACATATGTTGAATAAGCAAGTGCTGTTGATGTTGTTTCATAACCAGCTACCATAAAAAGGAAAATATTTGGTACTAGTTCCTCTGATCGTAATACTTTTGATATCATATGATCATCAGCTTGATCCTAAAAGAATGAATCAGAATTTTATATTTAATAATTATTTAATTACAATTAATAATTCCAAATACTCTGCTTCTCTACCACATGTGTGTTGTGAAAAGCGCTAGACATATTTTTCGCTATAGTAGTTTTCTTGAAACAATATAATTGGTCACTTTCAAATTTTAAATCATCTTTATAAACGAATGATTTTTAAAAAAAGACGTATGACCTCATTTAAGTGATATTTTTTTACAATGCATTAGATTACGCCACGCTTCACTCAGTGTCAATGAAATCACTACAAAGTGGAAAGTTTGATGAAATATATGTTATTAAATTGTCTCACTGTCATAAAATACAAGCACTATAACATATGATCAATGGTATATTCTTAAAGCCATGTTTTTATCAGCATGGATGTGTTTTTCAGTGTCAAAAGCAAGTTTGAGTTTGTAGTAAAAACAGTCTGAATCCATGCATACCTAACTGCAAAATCTTACAGTTTTCACTTTTCACATATCATTTCTCTTATTTTATTATATTTCATTTTTCTTCAGAATTTGGACACAGGCTTGAACGCGGGTGTGATTTTTCGGAAGTTTTTACTCGTACGCTTTTATTCATATTCACCTACTCATTTTCTAGATAAACTCTCCAATTATAAAAAATATCTGTTCTTTATAATAAATAAACTCATGTTAAAAGAAAAGTATTCGTACCATATATTCATTCAATCTTCGATCTTATAAAAGCAACTTGCAAGAGTTAAAAGCAATTAGGAAGATTCAGAATCTAGTGTTCTTTCCAAATATCGGTTCAGGACTCGTATGCCTATGTTTTCTCGAGGTTAGTGAGAGAATCTTTGAAACACCTGGAAAATTAGTTTGTAGAGAAAATTTTTCGTACATTTTTACTGTTGCAATTCGAAACTAAAAGTTAGAACTTTTATTGATACATCGGCTTCTAGAGCAAATTCTTCGGTGTGAAACGCGCTGTTTGATTTTATTTTTCTCTTTAAGTAAGGCAGCTAAAATTTCCTTGTTCTATCATCATCATGCTCACAAAAACTGATTTTTTTGATTTTACATCTTGTAAAGAAGTATTCCCTTCACAATATTACTGATTCCGACAATTTTTACATTTTCACAAAGGTACTCATCCGAGTTATTAAAAGGCTGTTAGTTCGCTAACCAAAGTCAATGTTTCGGCCCTTCAAAAATACTCTCACTCCTCTCAAATAAAAAAAGATACAGAATTTCTAACTTCATATTTAAAAAGAGTATCAAATTTCGAATCTTAGTAAGAGATTTTACCTCGCTAGTTACGTTGAAAGGACCGAAAACTAAGAGAATATTTTGTACGAAATTGTTTAGAACAGAGGTTAGTTGTTCTGACTTGTAATGAAACAAGATCTGCATCTCTCCTTGCTACGTACACCAAACTTGTTCAAAAATTAGTATTGAAAAGGGTAGCATAATGAGATGAAAGCAATCAGCTCATGCGATCAGAACAATTTGGCTTTCTTCTGAGTTATCTTCTTGCGGTACTAGCCCTTTCTATCTCACATAAAGTGAGCACCAATATGACTACGAATGTACCAATACTTCCTCGTTATATATGATCTCAAAAACTATACGAGCAAGAATGTCATGTGGCAGTCTTTGCTAATATTACACCGATCCAATATGTCTCTCATTTGCTCAAATTTATCAGCTTATGGCTGAAGGATCAACAGGCATCTGTAGTTTTCGAAGAGAAGAAGTCCAACATGTTCTACATTTTGATTGGCTTCCCGCAAGACAATTGCCTAAACACCTATATATTAATTGTCTTTCATTGTGTTCTTGTCTCTTGTCTTAATGATCATTCAGGAAAATTTTTTGTGAACGATTTGAATGTGCTTATCCTGCTACCTCTATCACCGAAACTTTCGCTTATGATCAAGTACTTAAAGCTTGAACAAACTAAAGTATGTAATCATTTTTCAACATAGTTAAAAACTGGAAACAATCAATAAATATTAATAAGATTTTTGGTCCACTTTTTTTCTCGAAAGTCATAATACGTTCAATAAATATCTTCATAGATGAACAAAAGATAAAAATAGTGAAGTCTTTTAACTATCTAGATTTCACTTGGATAGGTACACTGTCATTAAAGCCAACCAATGAAAAATGTCTAGAGATTAGCTACACGTCCCTTGGAAAACTAAAATAGTTACATCAATTTTAAGAATATGATCTTTTGCTTACACTTGTTCAGAACACATCTAACTTTTTTCTTTTCTATCAACACCTCATAAGCAATATTGAGACGAGAATGATGTTATATATATATATGAAGATTGTAACAACTGTATAAATATGCTTCAGGAAGACCTCTTTTTTTATCATGCTTTATTTTTCTGGAAAACTTGGGATAAAAGTCAATGAGATAATCACAGTGATTTCTTTCGAATGGCAAGAGTGAAATACCAACATGAATTTTTGCTGCATAAGTCGATGGACTTTGTTACTAAAATGCATCTATGTACGTCTCTTTATCTTCTCTCTAGTTTTTTTTCTTCTATTCTCTTCGTTTTTCTGTTATTCTTTTCTTCGTTTCTCGTTTCTTTTCGTACTATTTTTCTTCTTTCTTTCATATTCTATTTTCATTTATTTTTCTTTCATTACATTTCTTCTTCATGTTATTGAGAATGTCACATTATAGTCTACACTCATATCGATGAATCTGTACTTATACTGCTCAAAATGCTTTTTTTCCTGTGATTCTAAGTTATCTCTTCACATCTATATTTAATTACTTCCGAGCGTAATAATGAACAGACAAAATTAATACAAAATAATTATTGACAATGAATTGTTCCCAGGAATAGTGAATGCTCTACAGGATATTTTTTTTAATACGGAAATTACTCATGAACTATTCTTTCTATGAGCTTTTTTGTTTCAAGCTAGTCAATATTTATGTTGAAATAAGTTATAAACACCTACATAATTACATCAAAAGAATCAATAAGTAAACGGAAATTATAGATAAAGGAAGATATCTAATCGATCGAGGATTTTTATTTATTCAACTTACCATTAAATTATCATTAGTCAAAGCATCTATCATAAGTTGTAATAAATCTACACGCTTTTTCATATTAGTTGAAGATTTCATTCGCAAATCAACTACATCTTGTACACGATTCATTAACCATATATGTGGAAATTCCTCAATATAATTTTTCAAAAATGGCATCATTTTGACTAATCTGCTACAAATAAATCCCATAGAAAACAAAATATCATGTAAAGGACGCGCCAAAAACGGAAATAAGTTACCCAATCGAACAAGTAATAATTCATTAATATCTGTCTTGAAAACTTCATCAGACTTTTGTAAATATGGATTATTTAGATCATTTTGCATATCAGTATCAATACCAAATGCACAACGACCTGAATATATATTGATAAAAATAAGAGTAATATTTCACTTTAATCGATATACTTACAGATAACATCCATAGTCAATCGTTTGTATAACTCATAAATGTTGATTTCCTGATGTTGTTCATTATTCCTTATTTGTGCTAATTTGTTTAACATAGCTTCGATGCATCCATTGACTAGAGGAGACATTAATTTAAGCTTAGCCGATGAAAATGTTGGATTAATAATATATCGTTGACGACGCCATCCTGCTCCAGTAGCTTGAAAAAGATGAATACTTGCATCGTTTTCTCTACGTGTACTTTTTGGTGTATCACGCGAATGAAATGATGAAAATTGTTTGATATAAACTTCTTGAAGAAAATCAACATTGGAAACAACATACATTGGTGTCGTGCCAATGAATAATCCATAAATAGAACCATATTGACGAGTCCATTCTTGTAGTTGTTTTGATAATGATTTTAAGGACCATAATATTTTGTAATGACCAAAAAAGAAACGATGTGGAGGTCCTGATATACCAAGACGTTTGAAATAATTATAACGACTGTTAATTGTCCATAAGTAGACAGTAATAAGACAAATAATAATAGATATTAGAGCAACGGTTAAAAACATATTTTTTCAAGCGAAAGACAAACTGTTTTTTTTTGCGTGTTTTCGATTATTAAACTTATCTTTGTTTCTAAGTCTAATATCACATGGTTTATATATAGGGAAGCATGTACTTTATCATACTTTTCGTATATTATTCTGTTACCTTTCATGTATGTCGACACAGCAATGTGATAAAAGAAACTTTTGTTTTTACTCAATGATGAATAAGACGTACTTGAGTTCGAATAAATAATATGTTGCGACTCAATCAGAGTTGCCAGATCGAAAAGATAGAAATCAGATTGATTCGGAAAAAAGTCGGAAAACGATTGTCTAACATTTCGATGAAGATGTTGAGGTTTTTTTTACGAAAATATGTTGTTTATTGCTGCTTGAGGGTGGGGTATGGGTGTGATTGTGGGTGTGGCTATGTACTAGATCAACACTAACACTCACACCCACCCACATCCATACTCACACCCTAATATTCATATAATGCTGATGGTCTGTCAGAGATAAAGGGTCTATATCTTGTTTCAAACCAAAATAATCAAATATCTTCAACCAAACATGGTCGCCAAACCCAAAATACTTTCTAAGGACACTTGGTAATTTGGATTTCAAACAATGTATAGATCGCTTGTTTTTGCCAGATCATCAGCATTTTATGAGCTGTATAACTGGTAAAAAAATCATGTTTTTTTTTGATATATTACAAAAGCTACATGTACACAAAAAGTGTTGGGGTATCACACTGACTAGCCATGTCCATACAAGTAAATAAAGAACATAAGGAAGGCGCTGGTACTAGGAGTTTCAAATCCTTTTTCTCGTTGTTGTATGTCATTTGATAGTGTATGAAACCAATGATCTCGAACAATTACTTATTACGTAAACGAGAAGAAAAGACCATTGAGATTGAATACAATTTATCTAGGATACCCGTTACTTATGATATGGAAAATTTTTCATGCAACCCATTTATTTGACGAAAAAGAAATGTTCTCTTCTTAAAGTAGGCCTCATTATAATACGCATGTTTGTTGGAAAATTTGCCTAGGTATTAAAGTACATGCACTCTAGCAAGACTGAAGTACCACATTCAATAAAACTCGTAGATTTAAAACATTTCTTTTTTTTGCTAAAATCGAAAAATAGGAAAAACGATTGAAATATAGGACACATTGTAGGGCTTTTCACAAATATACGTCTTATAGGAATTATAAGTCGAATCTGATTCAAGATATCTTGAATAAAATACATCCAAATACTAATTTTTCTTTTCTAGATCTACTCCGACAACAAGCTCAACAAGAAAAAGACAACAAAACACAATAATTAACATAAAAAAATTTATTGATTAACAAAAACAAACTTTTCTCTTGTGCTTTTTTTTTCATTGTCATACATTATTCTTGAAATTAATAAATCTTGAGAACCATTATTCGTTATTCTATTTCTCGTTTGCTGCAAATGAAACGTTTTAATTGTTTTATTTTCGAAATATGTTTCACATAGTTACAATAAAAATCAATCTACAGCAAAGGAAAATAAATATAATAGTCTTTTGTACCAACAATATCCCTTCCGGTAATTAATCGTCTCACATTAATACTATCGCGTCGCGTTGCTTTTTGTGTAAAATCGTTTGTGATAATTCTTAATTCTTCATACACAACACGTAACTCACATAGACAAGGTAGATGCGTTATGGTTTCATTTAAAAATTGTTCGACATAATTAATATTCGTCCTTCTAATGTCAAGTAATGTAAGATGAGGATATTTAACGACTTCACATGATTCAATGTTTGGAGATGATACCTCGGTATTAAATGATAGTGACGCAAAAATGGAAACAACAGTTTTTCAGCAATGGAAATGCTTTAGATATTCGTACGAAGAATTCATATTCAAATGGAACCACATCATGTACCCATAATTCGATGACATAATCGAATACAATATTTGGAAATATATTCCCAATAGACATGAGCTTGACAAACTCGAAAGGAAGTGTAAAGATATGATACGTAGCTGTGTTTACAGAAAAACAAACCATATCCAATACTTCTTGATGACCTATATTTCTATAGTTTCGTTTAATATCATTATTAGACAAATAATGAACTAAATCACTGCTATTATTCTCTGTACTAAGATAAAAATTGAATGAATAAAGTCGTGACATATACAGAGTAAATTCATTTAGAAGATAAATCGGATCAATGAATCCACCGTGACAGACGATACACAAATATAAAGTTAATTTCTCCAAGTACAACATATGACGAAGGAGACGTATACAATATTATTATCATATTCTTTAATTAAACCATAGTGTATTAGTGAAAAAAACTTCAAATGAGGTAGATCATTCTATATAATGAAAATGAATGTTTATTTTAACTAGAAAGACAGTTAATTCTATTCGATATCTGTAATAATTCAAATATTATATTAATTAATGAATACTGAAATGGAATCTTGTTTTCATTGTGCTTGTCTGACCATTCAGTATGTCTATTTGATTTCAAACGGGATATGATTGATTTTATCATAAAATATATATTTAAAGAAGTAACAATTGAGAATTGATAACTTTCACATGCGTCTCTAATTATTTCTTTGTTTGGATTATTAGAGTAAGAATCCGTTGTTCATCTCTCTCATCATATAAATCAGAAATTAAAAATTTCGATTCTTGTGAATGGCTGATTAAAGCTGGTCTTATACATCTCTATTGATTTCTCATACAATTTTCTACTTTACGTATTTCCCAACTGTCTCCAATTGTTAGTTTGTATTTTGTTTGTTCGAAAAGTTTAACAAGATAAAATATACCTACCGTAGTGTGATTAATTGATGAATCTATATCCATACAATAAATTCGAACAATAAATGTAGTCAGTTGTTTGAGACGACCATCAAGTAAACAAAGACAATCAGTTAAAGTTCCCACATTAATATATAAATAAGTAAGAGTTGAAAAAGAAAAAGCACTTGATGATAAATATCGAACGGCTAAGCCTGGATATGCACGAATCGATGTTTGAATAACATTCAAATGCTCGAGATTTTCGAAGCAGGTCAAAATATGTACATACACTCTTTTCGTATAATCTATCAATGATCCTATAGCACACTCCCAATCTTCATTGATAAGATCAAGTTTTGTAATCTATTGTTTGAAGATATGTCGAAAAGGTGAATCATCTAAATTAAAATACAACAATGAAATATTGTTTAATCAGTTAAATAATGAGGTTGAAGAGCAGTAAATTGTAAACGAGAAATTAATGAGTATAAGACTGCTACGAAATTTTTAACAAAAATCACATTTATTTATTCAAGCTTTCGACAGATTACATCTGTCATCGTCAGGAATAACAAAATAGAAAAAAAAAACTCTATATATATGGATGAATTGCAACTTTATTGTACCGTTTTGAGAAAAAAATCGATGAAAAAAAATTTCCGATTTTAGAGATTGGGAGTAGTGCATCTTACTACACTATATGAGAGATGGATATGAATCAATTTTCCCGACTACCACTGTTAAATTGAGTATAGATCGTGTATACGCATCTTTCACAGCAAATTTATTAACTCGTGAGGAATGTGTTAGAATTAGTTTGCGTGAGTAGTGATAGTCACTTAAACATGAAAGCGACTAATATGCCCTTTATTCACCTTAATCTCAGTTACTGGATAGTTATCCACATAAAAATCTCATCTGGCACTTTTTTGAAAAAATCTCGTGTGACAGTTTGCCAACAATCTCGTGTGACATTTTTACACTATTTTCCTCTCTATTATGCGAAAGGAGCATTTTCTAACCGTGATATTTTCAGCAATATCTGGCCACAACTAACAAATAAAATGATAAAAATTTCAGCTCAATATGCCTTAATTTACAAGAGTTAATACGACACACAAAGTATGAAATCTCGTGTGACATTTAGTGTGACAACTATATTTTCAAATTTTATTTAATGTCCCTTTCTTAATACGAATAAGTAAAACTTTCGAATCATCTTTGGTAGTTTTATTCCCCACTGATAAGCTTTCATTCAAAACCAATCCGACAAATTTTGAATGCTTTGTTATATAGCAAAGGCGTTTTTAAATCTCGTGTGACACCATATTGACCATTGACGGTACACCTGATATTTGGAAAAAAATATAACATAAACTGCGATGAAAGAACTAGCCAGTCTCATATCCATGATGTATACACTGTCCACTGTAAATGTCAAAAACTGTCAAAATTCAAATGACAAGAAACCAATTAGTGATGGGTCATTTTCTGTCCATACGTGGCAGTAGAAATCAGCCATTTTAACCTTGTGTATGCAGTATCTCGGGATAGGCTAATGATAAATTCGTGATTTTTTGTGTGGTAGTGAACATCAACTACGGCAGCATACTCCGAAATTTTCATAGAGATTGGCCAAGAGGAACTGAAGTTATTAAAGTTTTACATATGGAACTACGAACGGTACAATAAAGTTGCAATTCATCCATATATATCTAGTTTATAAGAGAATAAAGAAGTTAATTGATAGATAATTATAATTCGCGAATTAGGGTGTGTGTGTGGGTGCGGGTGAAACTAAAGCTATGCCCACACCCGTACATACATCCACCCTCACACCCACACGCACACCCTAGAACTTTGTGCTCTTTTCGAATATGGATGTAGAAGTTTTGTCTCATTTTTTTCGAGAGTAGTGGAAATAATCTTTGAAAAGACCGAAAATATAGTTTGGACGGAAAATTTTTCCGCAAATTTCTGTATTTTTACTATTGAGATTCGAAACTAAAAGTTAGGATCTTTATTTATATATCATCTTGTAGATTTGAAGCTATCTTACAAGATGCATTATCTGAAGTTTTATTTTTTCTTTCGACAAGACACACTGTGAGTGTTGACGTTTGTAAACCGAAGCTTCACATTCACAGTCTTCGTACCAACAATGAGAAGAACAGCCATAAACTAGAGACATGACTTTTTTTTCG